TGGCTGCCCGAGAGCCGCGGCTGGGCGCTGCTTTGTGCCTGTCCTCCGGTCAGCTCCTTCTCGTCAGGCCGCTCAGGGTGCCGGGGGCCCGCCACCTCGGTGCTGCTGGAGGAGCGCTAAGCCAGGGTGGGTTTCTTCTGTAGAGGGTCTTCCTAGCTACTTGTCTCTGTGAGTTTTAAAACGCTGGACGAGTCAACAGCCACTCGAGTGCTTTCCTGTGGTCCAGCAAGCAGAGCCCTGAGATCCTGCAAGTTCTTACCCCCTCTTGGACTAGCGGAGTTGCTTCCCTTGCCCTCCCGCCTGTGTGCACCGTGAGCTCCCGTTGCCTTTGGCACACGGTGAGCCAAAGCAGGGAGATTTGAGTAGAGTGGGAGAAGTGGTGCTGGGAGGGAGCCGCGTTCTCCTTGCGGCAAGTCCGTGAGATCTGTTTGTTTCTCTGTTCTCTGGACTGTCTTTGCAGTAAATTGCAGGTAACCAGAGTCCAAGGCAATTGCAATCTGTGAAACCAGAATTGCACAATTGAAGGGTTAGAAAAGAGGTTTTTTTATAGGGGCTTAGCTGAGTTTCTGGTGCTATAATTATTTTTGTTGGTTTATTAGCTATGTGAGAGTCCTAGACTGACAAACTGGGATGTAATTATATGTCTGAAAATCAAGCTCTCCTATTTTCATGTTTTCTTTCAATTTTAGGCCACATCTAGACTCCTGGTGAATTACAAAGAACCTTATCGCTCCCAGATTTTAGATTATCTGTTCAAGGTAAAGTCAGTTTCACTGACAATAATGTCTAATTTCATGCAGAATTTCTTATTGTGTAATGTTCGAACTCCTGTAGTACATTCAGTACTACTTGAAATTAGACAAAATCCCATCTTGTAAAGTGTCTACTTTAATGTTGGTTTTCATCAGAACCTTAGATTTTAGCTGGTTTTGACAACCAGCATGTTATTCAGGAGCCTATTTCTTCAAATTATTGTGAAAATTCCTTTTACAATTTTGTGTGAATATGTTTTCAACATTTTTTTTATCATTCTTGTGGTTCTAATGAGGATTAAATTGGTTTTGTGGCTAATATGAGAGGTTTAGCTGTTCACCGTGATTGCAGGAAGTGTGTCTTTGAGACAGTTTTGATTTTTTTGGACTACAGGTAGGTTCATATAATGTGAAAATGACTGTGCAGACTGCATAATTTCAATAGAGTATCTATTCCCAACTAGTCTCAAGTATAAGTGCAGTTACTCTAGAAGGTGTGTGAATGTTACTGGTTTGTAAGCTGCTTTAGTTAGCAAGTGTAACCTGTGGAATTACCCAACTTAATATATGGTAAAATTATTGCACTGAACAGTAATAATTTGTTTTGCTTTTGGCACTGTAAATTACTCTGCTAGAAGAGGATGTCATGTCACTTTCAAGTGGTGCAATCCAGGTGGCTGGAGGGGAAAAAAATCACTGTGTAATCTAAAGAATTGGTTTTAAAGGGTAGAGCAAGGCATTATGTGTGACTGGGGGTATCAAAACCTATGTTTTTTGGAGACCAAAGTTGTGTGTTACAAATATGAGTTTTCTGGAGGAATCAAGAGGCATGTGGTAAAAGAAAATCTAGCTGAGAGATCATGATTGTCAAAGAATTTTTGACACGTTCTTTCACTAAAATCTCTTAAGCTGCCATGAGATACTTGGGAGGGGTATACCTTGCCTCATTCTCATTGTCTTTTAATGTCAGTCAACTTTCCTGATGGGGATGGGAGAGAAAATGTGTTAGAAGGTTAAAATCAAAAATGTCAGGAGGAGAAATGGTAAATTTGGAATATTTGCTTCTTACTTAAAAGCAAATTTAAAAAATCCAAAACTTGTAAGCCCGGCAAACTATCGTGTATGTAGCATATTTTTTAATCAAATTGCATTCTCAGATTTTAAAACTATTTTTGGATGCCAAAATTATACTTGGGTAATTCCATGGAGGACACCAGCTCATCAGTGGTTATTAAAATAATGATTAGTTGTAACCTGTGGCTTGCGTAACTCTTAAGCCACTAATGGCTGGAAGAACATACTAGGAATAGGATCACCTGTATGAGCTTGAATTTTATGTTCTGCTCCACCAGTCAGATGCCAGGGGAAGAGGATAGTGGACTAAGTGGCCATTTGTTTTCCAATATGGTGGGGTTTTTTCCTCTCTTGCCTTTCTGCCTGTAGTTTGCAGATTATTTCTGACCCGTATGTATGCTCTTTCATATAAGCAGTGTAACACTTTGCACCAAAGAATAAATTATTTACAGAAATAGTAACTTCAATAATTTGGTTTTAAAAGAAACAAACTTGACTTCTAATAACATCAAAAATACTGTTGTGCTCCTCATATAGCCCATGTTCTACTTCAAGTGTGTTTCAGTATTTTCTTGAGTATAACCAATTTAAAATCTGCACAGTTGAGAAGTGACATTAATGGTGGAAGAGTTGGGGAAACTAAGACAAGTGTACTATTTATCTTACTCGATTTCCTTTTGAAGCAGAGTTTTGTATAATTTCTCATTGCACTGTAATGGGCATTAAAAAATATTGATTTTTTAACATCCTCAAAATTGTATGTTTGTTGCATTATTCCTGTTAACAGCAGGATTCTGTTTGTTTTTCTGTCTCTCTTTTTTTGTAGCCAAATTTTGGTGCTTCTTTGCATATCCTGAAAGTAGAGATTGGAGGTGACGGACAATCAACAGGTATGGATTTTGTGTGAGCAGGGTTTAACTTCTCATTGCAGTGATGCTGTAAATAACCTGTCCTGCATGTGTCACATTAGCTGACGCATGGAGATGTGTTCTGTAGCTGAAGTTGCAGAAAACCATAAACAATGTCTGCTAAGGTGCAGAAGGGAAATTTACACTAATGTTCTGGAGACTGTTCTCAGTATCATATGGTTAATAGTTTGCATTCTAGAGCAAATGAGTTCTTTTTTTCCCCTGAGATTAAGGAAGCTCTTGTAGCTTTCTGAATTGCAGAGCATTTCTCAAATACCAGTTTTGCAATACAAACTGTAAAACTGGTGTGGGACTAGGTCGTTTGTCTTAAAAGCATGAAAATATGAAGACAGCTGGTCAGAAGCAGTTAGGTTTCTTTGAATTAATGAGCTGCTACATTTTGCTGGCGTGGCCTTGTCTGATAGTAGGCACTATTTTTTTTTTTTTTTTTTGCCAAGCAAAAATTAACAATTACAAATTAAAATGTCATGATGTAATTTGCCTAGGCTTCTATATTTACATATACGAGAAACTGTTTAGTAACTGCTTGTGATTGGAAGCTGAGAAGCAGTAACTAGACTTAAAATTAACATGGTGAAAAATATTATACCGGGTTTAAGAGCTCAGTATTTGGTCATTTAAGTGCTGTTAGAGGAGAATGGAGTCACCTTCATGCATGCACAGAACTTTTCTTCAAACATGCTTCCTGCTGGCTAAGGAGAATGTTACATGTGTCATGGCTTTCCAGATTTTAGGAGGAGCACAATAAGATGCATTAGACTAGACTGCAGCTCTTATTCTGACCTCAGAGGTGTGATCAGGAGTCTGTCTGAAGTGTGATCAGGAGTCTGAGTTTGGAATCTAATTGTTGTTCTATGTCTCTGACAAACAGAACTTCCAAATAGTGAAGTGTTAGTAAGGTAAAAAAAAAAAAAAAAAAATCAGTCTTATTTTCTGTAATGAAATGTGCTGTTTCAGCAGGCTTCATACAAAACAAAAAAGTCCATTCAGAAGAGATCTCTGGAACAATTAGGCATATAGTTTAGCATAAGTAATTGTTGCAGTTGCGTGCACAAGTTACTAATTGACTTTTGTGTGTAATGACTTCTCATGCAACACTGATTCTTTTACGCCTTTCTAGTTTGTTTACCTTTGCCTGAGGGAATTCAGTGTATAGCCTTTAATTCCAAAAACTCTTCCTGCAGTCCTGGAACACCATGGAAATTATAAAAAATATCTTTTATCATAAAAATAAAAAAAATCTCTTTCCTGCCACAAAAAAAACTTCATGGCAGTTCCTTTCTTTTTCTCCCGGGACTTGTCTTGCACAGAGGAAACAAACTGTAGCCTTCTTTTTGCTTTTTGGCTTAGATTTAACCTGCTTCTACAAAAAATGTTTCTATAAATATATTAACAACAAAAGAGAACCAAAGTGAATCTCCATCCTTTATTGGATGCAGGGGGAACCATAGTGACAAAGGATGAGGATAAGGCTGAGGTACTTAATACCTTCTTTGCCTCAGTCTTTAATAGTAAGGTCAGCTGTTCTCGGGGTCCCCAGGCCCCTGAGCCAGAAGGCAGGGATGGGGAGCAGAAGAAAGCTCCCATGATCCAAGAGGAAATGGTTAGTGACCTGCTTGGCCAATTAGACATCCATAAGGCTATATGGGGTCCACGCAAAGGTACTGAGCGAGCTGGTGGAGGTGTTCACCAAGCCCCTTTTCTATCATCTATCAGCAGTCCTGGCTGACTGGAGAAGTTCCACTTGACTGGAGGTCAGCAAATGTGATGCCCTTTTACAAGAAGTGCTGGAGGGAGGATCTGGGGAACTATAGGCCTGTCAGTCTGACCTCAGGGCTGGGAAAGGTCATGGAGCAGATAATCTTGAGTGCCATCACACAGCATGTCCAGGACAACCAGGTGATCAGACCCAGTGGGTTTCATGGGTTTATGAAAGGCAGGTCCCGCTTGACCAGCCTGATCTCCTTCTATGACAAGGTGACCCACTTAGTGGATGAGGGAAAGGCTGTGGATGTAGTGTACATATGTGGTCTTTAGTAAAGCCTTTGACACTGTTTCCCACAGCATTCTGCTTGAGAAATTGCAATGGCCTGGACAGGCATACTCTTTGCTGGGTAAAAAAATGGCTGGGTATGTGGGGCCAAAGGGTGGTGGTGAATGGAGTTAAATCCAGTTGGAGGGTGGTCACAAGTGGTGTTCCCCAGGGCTCAGTGCTGGGGCCACTTCTGTTTAACATCTCCATCAACGACCTGGGTAAGGGGATTGAGTGCACCCTCAGTAAGTTTGCAGATGACACTAAGCTGGGTGGAAGTGTTGATCTGCTTAAGGGAAGGAAGGCTCTGCAGAGGGACCTGGACAGGCTGGATTGATGTGCTAAGGTCAACTGTATGAGGTTCAACAAGGCCAAGTGCCAGGTCCTGCACTGGTGTCACAACAACCCCATGCAATGCTACAGGCTTGGAGAGAAGTGACTGGAAAGTTGCTTGGCAGAGAGGAATCTGGGGGTACTGGTCGACAGCTGACTGAATATGATCAGCAGTGTGCACACATGACCAAGAGGGCCAACGGCATCCTGGCTTGTATCATGAATAGTGTGGCCAGTAGGACCAGGGAAGTCATCCTTCTCCTGTACTCGTCAGTGGTGAGGCCACACCTCAAATACCGTGTTCATTTTTGGGCCCCTCTCTACAAGAAGGACATTGAGGCACTGGAATGTGCCCAGAGAAGGGCAACGAAGCTGGTGAAGGGTCTGGAGCACAAGTCTGATGAGGAGCGGCTGAGGGAACTTCTGGAGAAGAGGAAGCTGAGGGGAGACCTTATCGCTCCCTACAGCTACCTGAAAGGAGGTTGGAGCGAGGTGTCAGTCTCTTCTCCCAAGTAACAAGTGATAGGCCAAGAGGAGAAATGGCCTCACGTTGCACGAGGGGAGGTTTAGATTGGATATTAGGAAAAATTTCTTCACTGAAAGGCTTATCAGGCACTGGAATGGGCTACCCAGGGGAGTGGTCGATTCCCCATCCCTGGAGGTATTTAAAAGACAGGTAGATGTGGTGCTTAGAGACATGGTTTAGCAGTGGACAGGTATGGTTGGATTCAATGATCTTAAAGGTCTTTTCGAACCAAATGATTCTATGAAATGTGGTGTGTGTGTTGTTTTTTGGTTTTTTTTTTCTTCTCCTCATCTTAATGCTGTAAATTTCCTAGTGGTTGTTGGGATTAAGATAATAACGAATATAGCTTTAGTATTATCATAGCTAGGGATAGAAAATGCCCGATAGTTAATAACATTCTGATATTAAAAGCAGATGTAGTCCCTTAAAAATAAAAAAGTACTACATTTATGCTGAGTTAATATGCTAAGAATGAATGGTAGCAAGTCTTGTGTGTTCACTCCCGCTACTCATTTTGCTTTGAAACACATACCAAAGAACGCATGAAGCGTATTGGAGATACGTGCTTGCATACCATGGCAGTGAGCAATACAGAAAACTTTATAATGTGTAACAGCTTATGACACAGAAAATAATTGTGAGCTACCTGTCTCCTTCCTTCCTAGATGGCACTGAACCCTCCCATATGCACTATGAAAATGATGAGAACTACTTCCGGGGTTATGAATGGTGGCTGATGAAAGAAGCTAAAAAGAGGAACCCCAAAATTAAACTGATTGGTAAAATGCTTCAAGCTTTAGGATTTAAATGCTTTTTTCCTCCCCAACTAAGTTATGTTTCTGACCCTTAATTAGCATATTCATTTTAATGGGCAGATATTTTGATGTTGCAGTAGACAAAGTAGAATCTCTAATATTTGGTAAGCTTGCCTTGATGCCTCGCGTAAGCTTACTGTGTTTTACTTTGTTACAGGGGCACAGCATTTTTATGTTATGCTACTGTAACAAGTAGCATAACAAGAATGTATGTAACAAGTATCACAGGATAGGAAATGACTGTCTAATGACTTGCTTGTGTCAAGTAACATTAATGCTTAGACTGTATCACAGCAATGAACATAAATGATTTATCGTAAGAGCTGAATTTCTGAATAATAGAGTAAAAAATTGGGGTGGGATAAAGTAAACTTACAGGAAGTCTAAATCTGTAAATCTTGTATGCACTAAATTCAGTTTTATGTTCTTATAACATACCCTTCACCCCATCCCCACGATAGTGGTTTGTCTTCTTATTTGTCTTATGTATACATAACAGGACTTTCCTGTCTCCTTGTTTTGATTGTGGGTTGTGTGTATGCTGTGACAGTACAAATGTGGAACCCTAGATTTTAACTGAAACACTTTACAAAATGTATTTCACATGAAACAATGTAAGAAATCTATCAATTAAAAGTATGTATTCCAGGCTTTGCCATATCCAGCCACAAGGCGTGCCTTGGTGCAGGATTTGCTAGTCAGGTTCTGTTAGACAGGCACTATGACAAGCAATAAGCTTATCATATATGACTAATTGTGATTATTAATAATGTCCTTTCCTCAGATCAAGCTCTCAACGAAGGAAGGAGAGTTTGACTTGAATTAGCCTATGGTGTCTTATACAAAGTCAGCTGAAAACTTAGCAGGATCTGGTTAGGTTAAGTTGTTCTACTTACTACAAGATCCAGTAAACAGCTGAGAGATGGAAATGCTTTTTCATGATCCTAATCTTTCTTCCTCTCTTATGACGAGATCATCACTTCTGAAATTCATATTCAGGAGATTAACAATTTTTGGTGTTCAGTATCAATCCTTTGTCTGTCACTTTGTAAAATTTTTATCCTAAAATCTTTGGAATTTCAAACCTGTTAAAGCTAATACCACACAATTGAAAGATTGTATGTAGTCAGTTGGTTTCTAGTAATGAAAGTTTTCTAGCTTAAAAAAAAACCCAAATGGCTATTAATATGCTTGATCACAATTTGTATTAGAGCATGCTCTCCAGTTAAATAAATTGTTTCATTTTCTTCACCGGAACTATGTGAAGTGCATATCAGCTCCTCCATTTTAAGTACAACAAATTACAGCTTGCTATTGAAGCTTACAGAGTAATGTAGACCAACTACTTAGCTTATTCATTTGTTTTTCTTCTCTCTTTCCAGGATTACCTTGGACATTTCCAGCATGGATAGGGAAGGGTGAAAACTGGCCCTATGACTATCCAGATGTCACCGCTTACTATATTGTTTCTTGGATATTAGGAGCTAAACAGTATCATGATTTGGACATTGATTACATTGGGGTCAGTAAAGCAAAATCTCCTGTGTATTTTATCTATCTTCATTCCTAAGATCTTGGTCTTCTTTCTCTTTGATTACTGGAGGAGGGGGATGGGAAGAGAAGTTGTTTTGTAATTGTAGTTTTGGCTTTTTCTGTTGCAAAGGGGAGTTATGTTAGTTTACACTCTTCCTGCAATAATGGCCATTAAAGCAGAACCAGTGCAAAATGGCTAGTCTCCTGCTTTCCCAATTCTAGAACAAAGTTACCAGAGAATTTGAGAATTCTGAAATCTGTTTGAATCTTGGGCTTGTCATTTTCTGCCTTGCTTGTTCAGCTAACAAAAAGCATTAAGGCAGAGTTTGTGAAAGTAAGCTAAATAATTTTTTTTTCCATAAAAGATGGAAAATCTAGAGCAACAGAAAAAATGGGACCATTTTGTGTCTGTTCAGTTGAAACTGCTGGATCTCTCTTGTGAACACACAAGTATGGATATAGTCCTGTGTAAATTAGAAAGAACTGTAAGTGTCATTGAATAATTGTGGTTTAATCCGGCAGGCAGCTGAACACCACGCAGCCATTTGCTCACTTCCCCCCTCCCCAGTGGGATGGGGGAGAGAGCTGGGGGGGGGAGGGGAGAGGAAGGGGGAAGCGAAATTCATGGGTTGAGATTAAGACAGTTTAATAGGACAGAAAAGGAAGAGGAAACAATAATACTAAAAGAATATACAAAACAAGTGATGCACAATGCAATTGCTCACTACTTGCTGACCAATGCCTAGCCCATCCCCAAGCAGTGATTGCTGCCCCCCGGCCAACTCTCCTCAGTTTATATACTGAGCATGACATCGTACGGTATGGAATATCCCTTTGGCTGATGGGGTCGGCTGTCCTGCCTGTGCCCCCTCCCAGCTTCTTGTGCACCCAGCAGAGCAGGGGAAGCTGAAAAGTCCTTGACTGGTGTAAGCACTGCTTAGCAACAACTAAAAACGTCAGTGTGTTATCAACATTCTTCTCATCCTAAATCCCAAACACAGTGCTGTGCCAGCTGCTAGGAAGAAAATTAACTCTATCCCAGCCAAAACCAGGACAGTAACCCCCTGAAACTGTAGGCAGTTTTTCAATACGCAACTTATTCTAGCTCTGCTATGTGAGTTTATGGCAACAGCGCTCATTCATTAGGACCCACCTTGAAGCCACACTGTTTCTCAATGATTTCCAGCAAACTGTAGACCCACTGGTAATAATGTAATGTGTAACACTGCTACCATTGTAGAGGCCAAGCAGCTCTAGAGTTCTTTTCAGCAAGAAGGCAATCAGTAGACATTAGAGATAGATAAAAAAATCAGCTATTTTGAACTTTCATACAGAATTTTCCCCTGAAGAGCTGATAACAAAGCCAACCAGAGCACTTTCCTCTAGCAAACTGAAACCTTGGAGTTTGTTAACAGATTGTATAACTTTAGTTATACATCAATGAATAATGGAAGATTTCATTTACATATCCTGATTTTTCTAAATGGCTTTTTACTTTTCCTTTATAGATATGGAATGAAAGGGCATTTAATAGCAAATATATTAAGGTATGTATTTTTCCTTATTTCCCTAAAGGGAAATTTTTGTCTTTGTTATCCTATGTAAAAATTAACTTTTCTGAATTTGCATAGAAAAGGGACCTTAATCCTGCAACTACTTCAATTACTGAACTCAGTTTCTTGTAGTTGCAGGCACAGAATGCTAACAGGACCAAGTCTCGAGATTTTTGTGTGTGTGTCTGAAACTGTTATATTGAACTTTAAGTGTATCAGTGTATGCTAAATGTTTAGGACCTCTACATTTTCATGGAAACTCCAGTTGATGTTGCTGAAATCATACAAACTCATCATACTGGCTTGGATATAGTTATAAGTCCAAGATTTAGAATTACTTAAAATTCTGTAGCAAAGTTCAAGTGGATATAATACCCTTAATTTATTTCTATAGAACTCCAGATTCTTATTTTATGGAAAACATAATAAAGGCGCTGTGTTTTTAGCTGTGCAAGGTTCAGTACCTCCTGTTTAAAAGAGTTGGAGGAACACAGTATTTCACATAACCAACCTTGAAATATCTCTAATATCTGTCACTGCTGCCTGCCCCTGCTGCCCCCCTGCTCTTCTTTGAAAACTCACTTCTGTTTGTTATGTTGAAGTGGAATCTTAAATACAAACTTCTACTTATTCATTTCCTTGTCGCTGCTTTGAGGCTAAGAAGCAATAGCATTACCTCTTTTTTAAAAGCAAATGAGAGTTAAAGTGGGTGTGGTGAAGAACTGCACAAACCATAGCCTAACTTTTTTTTTTAAAGCTAGGAAACAAGTTAATAGGGTGCTTTTTTTATTACAAAAACCAATCAGTAACTAGAAGTTTTCTGTTAAATTTAGCCTCAGGCAACATGGGTTCCAGGCTTTTCTTTTTCAAAAAGAAAAGTGGTTCACTAATTGGGTATTGGCTAATGGATGCTAGTAGTGTCCTTAAAGGATAATCCTAATCATAGGTAAGTTATGCTGGTAGGGGAGGAGTGGGAAATGTGTGTGGGTGTGGACTTAAGTACGAAATTGCTAGCTGTTCAATATGTATCTTATAGAAGCAGAACCAAACAGAACTGAAAACACTTGTTTGCAGGCTGGAATAAAACAGTGAAAGTAAGATGGAAGATAAATAGTGAGAATTTTTTTTTTTTTTTGAGCTGCAAGTTTTATTTCTTTACTGACTAGACGTTATGTTGCTTGGAATGCTTATGAGACTGAACCCTTTGTAAAAATGATCATCAGAGCAAGAAGGCATATCTTGCTATGAATGAAAAACTCATTTATTTCCCTATATCACTGATTGGTTCTCTTTTAAAAACTGGTTTTCCTGACTTTCTAGAGGTCTTGTAAGAAATAGAGATGTTCTGTTTTGCTCAGTCCTGTGTCATGTCACTTGGAGGCTTTCTCATCTGTTTGTCTTGGCTTCCTAATGTGAGGAAAAAGAATGTGGAGAACAAACTGTCGAGTGTAGGTGTGGCATTCTACTTGTTAGCTTTTTACATGCTGTTGAATTGGGACTAATCTTTTGGCTTCTAGAGCTAAATGTTTAGTTTAAAGTTTGATTTTAAAATTACCAAAATATTTGCTGAAAAGTGTCAGCTTTCTCTCCACTGTACGTTAATTGATACAAGGCAAGATCTTATTTAACACTTGTTTTACCATTCATTTTCTTACACTCTGCAGTGTTGTCTGGGATCTTTTGTCTAATCGGTATGGTAGTTCTTCTTGCAGACTGCCATTTCGAAAAAGGTCTACTTACTCAAGTGTGCTGTTGCACACCAAACATTTTATGTAATGTCTGACAAATACATGCAACAGATAAGCTCTTCGTTATCTTGCTAAATTTTTACTTGCAAGAAGTCATTTTAGTTCCTTCATCCACTAAGGCGCTAGTTATGTTTCTTAAGTAGAAAAAATGAAAAAGAATTTATGATTTTATTGCTTATAAGTTCTTATTCAAGAAGATCCGATTCTCCTATCTTAAACTAACCCTAAAATTTAAGATGTATCTATATATAAACATGGATACTGGGTGTGGGGGAACCATTCTGCATATGTTATTATGGAGTGTATTTTGAGTGTCTACTGTTCTTTGTCCTTGGTACTTACCTTTCAACATGGAAGTTCTGCAGCCTTTCTAGTCATTTTGTTCTTCTGAACTATCTCTGTGGTTAGGCAATTTTTCCAAATGTCTAGCTAGCAAGAAAGCTTTAAATTGCAAGGACCTTACCGTTTCTATCATTATGAATTTTTCTTCTGGTAAATGTTATGTTTCAAAGGCTTCAAGCAGCTGAACAGAACTTCATTGCTACTTTTCTTAATAAGTTTTACGTTCTTTAGATCTAGGCTTTCATTGTCACCAACGCTTGGACTTTGCTTTGTGTCGTTATTTGACTACATGTCAAAACAGAAATGCTCCCTGTTCTCCTTCACATTGCTGGAGAGCTATTATGAGAAATTATTTAAGGGTTCATGCCTACTGATATTCACATGGTTGGAAAAAATCTTCCTTATGCATGCATGTGTATGTACAGCACATAGTACATCATTCTTTTATATCCAAGATCAAAAAAAAGAATTTTAGACTGTGGACTGATGTCCTTTTTCAGATGCAACTCTATGTGGAAGCTGCAGAAAATACTTTTTTAAAAAAACTTTTTTTTAATTGAGTGTTCAGATGAAACATGCTTGTATAATACCAGCCCAGTATAAGCCTGGTTCATTCTTAACTGTTAAAGCTGGATATGTTTTGCCTGGGTATGTTTACTCTAAGAAGTTCCACAAGCAGATGTGAGAGGTTTATCATCTTTGACAGTGAAATAGTAAGGAGAAGCTAGAAAGATGGAATATGAATTCTCTTCTGCTGATATGTTTGAATTCAAAGTTGACTGCCCTCAGTTTTGTTGTAAATATGCAATTCCAGTTTTATGCATTACATTCCTGAAAATTAGTGAGACATATGAGAGCCAAGTATTTGGTAGGCTTAAATATCAGACACTTAGAACATCAAGGATTTTATTTTTTTTTTGTTCAGTAAAATAGCCTGTGAAAAGGATGCTTAGGTGCTCTTCACTTGAAAAGGACAGATGTGTGGCAAAGATTTCTATTCTTGCAGAGAACTGCATGGTTACAAGGTCTCTTCTATTTTAAAACTTCAATCCCTGTTTTCTCAATATACTTTTTTTGGGATCAGGATAACTTCTAATCACCTGTGGAGGTATGTCCACTTCCACATTCCAGCCACTCTCCATTTTTAGATCAACTTAACATGACTAACTTTATAATAAATCCATTACTCATATGTAACGAATTACATGCATGCAATGGATGGAGTCAGTATGTTGGGAGTGTCCAAGTGGAATACGTATATGCATGTGGAGTGTCAAAAGTAATCCAAGTGATGAGGAGTCCATTTTTGTGTAATGGCTATGTAATGCCATAGATATTCCTTCAGTATTAAAAATACTTATAATTAACTCTGTCTTAGTTGTCATTATGGCTCTCCTTTGAGAAGTGAGGACTTTTCTTATCCATCTTGGTCTGAAGACAGATGCTTTCACTGATGACTCCTACAGTTCTTAAATTGTTTTCAGTCTTAAATTAAATTTCATGTTGCCTGGTTGATGAAGGCTGTACTTTAAGTAGTGTTATCTGTTACTAAGGTACTTCGACAATCTTTGGACAGACTGGGTCTAAGGAACATTGGCATCATCGCTGCGGATGGAGATTGGAACATTTCAAAGGAGATGATAGTTGATCCCTATCTTAATGATGCTGTTGAGGTAGTCGGGTAAGTGTGGGAGAAGGGCGGAGTTTCAGACATTGCTTATTGCTTCATTTCTGTAAGTCAGTCTTCATCTCCATTTTGAGAAGTCATATATTCTTATTTCTTACTTCCCAGTCATTCCCAGTTTTGTCATCATCAGGTACAGTGGTGAATGATTATTCTTTCCTGTCTTCCACTCTTCTTTCAGTTTAGTACATGTGTAAAGTAACTTCATCACTCTTCCATCATTTCTTTAAAGTGTTCAGTTAGGAGCTATGTTTTAGGCTTATCTCAGAATGACAGGAGACTTCTAGCTAATCTGCACGTGCATGTTCAAAATCAGAAAGACCTTAGGACTGAATTCTTGGTCTGCAGTCAGTTTTAATTTCAGGTGAAATTGAACTTTCACACTGGAACTTATCACCATGGGACTTTCCTTGCTTGCAGCATTCCCTGTTACGTGTCCTTTGCTTGAGATTTTTCTGGTCATGTCCTAAAGCTAGGAGATTCTGTTTGTTACTTATATCTGATAACAGATAGTATTAGAAGTGCATACACAGACAGTAAAGAAGTAAAAACAAGCATCCAAAGTTTGTTTTTAGACTAATACAACCATCTCAATTTCAGCAGCTAGGAATGCTTGCTGTTGTAGTTCTAGCAAATGGGCACTTGACTGAATGCCTGCACTCTTGCTCCATAATACACTTTCTTACTACCTTGCTTCTGTCTGCGGGCTTGATACTTATTCTGCTGCTCTTGCTTTCTTGGTAATCTCTGATTTCTCAAAACTATAAATAGGTTTTTAAAAACTACAGCATGTTCCCAGTGGAAATGACCTATAGGCGTGTAAATTGTTCACTTGTGTTACATTTGGTAACTTGCTTGTGTCCGATAACCTTACTGTGGTAAGAAATGCTTGTGGTTTCTAGTGTACCATTTATCCTCCTCTAGATGTAAGAGGGTGTGATATGCTCATAATTGTTTAAACTAATGCATGGTTGAAAGGTTATAGCAAGTCAGTTAAGCAGGGATTTTATAAAGAAACTGCTGTCTTGTGTGTTGAGTTTGTAAACACTGATCACTTGGAAGGCCACCTGAGAAATATCAATTATAATGCTAGCACTGAGTAACTCATTTGGTTTAAAAACTTATAACTTTCTTAGGTTAGACAAGACTTGCACTTCAGCAATTTGTAGAGCATTAGGAAATGTTTTAGTTATGACTTCCATGCTAATGGAAATTGCAGAATGAATGCACTGATTGTGTATGGCTTTTATTTCTTCAAGAGCTTGACAGAATCAAGGCTAGGAGTTACCTGGTTTTGTTTGTAGCCTTTAGAACCACAGACATGTTTTAATTCTTCTTTAAGATGAAAGTTCTTTTAGTCAGAGGCTTTTCATAAACATCATACAGATTTTTCCCCAACTTCCTCGCCTCCACTGATCACAAAACATGAAGAGTCAGGAGAATATTTCCTGTGCAGTAGTCTTGTTATCTATCAAGAAATTAAGTCTAGTACAAAATAAGAACACCATGTTTCTCAGCCAATGCTGACTCTAAGACACCAACTACCAGAGTTGTTGCTGACCTAGAAAAAGATAGTATTTAGGCGTCTGTCCTTCAAATGCTCAGGTTCAGAAAGCTGCTAAAAGTACACTGTATCTGTCTCTTAGATAACTGTGTCTAGTTTGCAAAATCTGCTAGTTAATCTGTTTTCTGAAATAGTCTTAAAGCAATTCTGAGAAAAGAGTGTAATTGCTTTTCAAGTATAACCTTTTCTGTGACTTTTTCTTAGTTCTATTTTGGAATGGAAACCTGGGTTTAAATTTATATTGTTTTATTTAGAAATTGTAAAGATAATCAAAATGATTGCTTTGGCATCTATCCACAAAAAGTAACTGACCTTTCCCTTTCTTTGTGTTTCTTTTCATTTTCTTTTTTCCTTTCCTTTCTTTTTCCCTTCCCATTTATTTTTCCATAATTTTTCCCTTGATACCATTGCTCCCCGTGGAGCTTTATCCCTGCCTAAAATATGATTTGCAATCTGAAGCATATCTAAGGTAGATTTAAGGTAAAGCTTCTATGTCTGCTTTTTCCCCCTCCATATTTGTTTGCTGGCTTGTGATTTGAAAGATGGAGAACTTCATATTTTCTCATTAGAATGAAGGCTACTGAGCTGTTATCATTCAGTGTGTTTCAGTTTCATTGGTTGAAGAAGTAGTCTTCCTGAACATACTGCTTGCCATCATTTCATACCAATGAGTTGCAGCACTTGCCATTGAAAACAGGAATTTTGTTAGAAGAAGAAAAGAAGAAAGCCTGTATCTGCTACTGAATCAAATTCCTTACTGGCATTCATAAATGCTTGGAGATGAAAAAAAAAAATTATAGTTAGCTCAAGTCTTAAACTGTGTTATGTTTTCCTTCCTTTTTTTGTTTGTAAGACCATCTTCACTTCTGTCTTCCTTTGTTATTTTGATAGGTGCTATTTCTGTGTTTGTATAGTATATATTCTTATTACTTTTCTCCCAAAATGTATTATGGTTCAGTACTACAACTTCTGTGTTAGGCGTGGATTTTGTTTGCTGTGTTTAACAAAGCCTATAGAGCCCACAGCTCTGTTTGGCAAGACCTTTCTTAAAGGCCTATATACTAATACACAATTAGATTTTAATATATTCCACATTTTTTTTCTGCTGTTTATCTAGAACTAGACAAATTGAAAATGTTTTTCCATAGTTCTCAATTATTTAAGTTATCTTTAACTTGTAAGTCAAAGATTAGTGGACAGTAGTTGTATGTTGGGTGGTGGAAAAAAAATCTGCGTTCATCAGTTTTTGTTTACCAGACAGAACAAGTCATACTTCTAGTTGATGTAGCATTGTTTTTTTCTAATACAATGATCAAATAGCAGAAAAAGTTGCTGCCATTTCAATTTATCTTTTTCCCTGTCTCCTAGTGTCTGTTATTTTAAAAAAAAAAATAATAAAAAATTCTAGTAAGTCTTAATGAACAAAGAAGATGGGTGATGTATTAAAGAGCTATTTGTCAATGACTGTGGCTTTTATGTAAAGGGTTCTTGATCTGTTGATTTGCATAGGTAATATAATTACAACTTTAGAGAAATCATTGTTGTTATTATCCAGGAAGGCTTTCTCAGTTGAATAGGAAAAACAAGTTCAGTTCAGTGTTATTTGCTCTTTCTGAGGTAGAAAACATTTGCTGTAAGAGATAAAGATAAATTGACTTGTCTAAGACTATATGCTAAGCTGGTGGAAGAATAATTATAGAAAATACTGTCTTCTGGATTTATTTCATGATTTTGGACCATGCTGCTTTTGCTACAGTTTTAAACATGATTTTTCTATTACATAGTTCAAAGCACAAGCTAGAAACTTAATTTTGGATTTATGTAATTGACCTTAAGACAGAATGTTTGTCTCAATTTAAAACAATAGATTTTACTGGTAGAGTAGCCTTGTCTCTTTTTTTATTTGTGTGGGTCTTATTTCTGGGGATGCGATCTGTAATTAGATAGAATTATTGACTAACTTGGTTTGCACAGGACCTCTGGAGGTCATCTGGTTGAACCTCCCTGCATCAAGCAGGTACGGTTAGATTGTGGTGCTGAGTCTTATTCAGCTTTATCTTCAGAACCCCTTTGGACAACTTATTCCACATGTTTGACCACACTCATGCTCTTTTTTCTTTTTTCTTTTAAGTTCTTATATGCATCTGAATTTTTCATCAGTCCACAGCCTGTACTGTTGCAAGGGGTTGTTGTCTCCCAGATGTAGGACTTTGTGTTTGCACCTGTTGAACTTGACAAGATTCCTGTCAGCCTGTTCTTTTCAGTCTGTTAGTTCCCTCTAAATAACAGCCTTCTGTTTCAGCATATAACTGTTGTTGTGGATTAATCCCGGTAGGCAGCTCAGCCCCACATAGCCCACAGTTCAGTCCTCTGCAGTGGGATGGAGGGGAGAACCAGAAGGGTGAAAGTGAGAAAACTTGTGGGTTGACATAAAGACAGCTTAATAGAGAAAGCAAAAGCTGTGTCTGCAACCAAAGCAAAATGAGAACTTCCTGAGTTTTATTAAGGATATCATCCTGTGGGGACATTGCTAGCAATCTGCACCCTGGTTGGACTTTTCTATCCACCTTGGTGGCAGGCTGCTAAAGTGAAGGTATATGACATCCACTGATTTCACATTGCCTGCACAGGTAGTCATCTTGTAGAAAGCAGTCATGTTTGTCAGGCATGATTTGGCCTTGGTAAATCCATGCTGCCATTCCCGGTCATCCTCCTGTCTTTCTTGTGCTTGGAAATGGCTTCCAGGAAGACTTGGTCTGTAACCTTCCTGGGGACTGAGGCTCGAGCGATGGGCCCCTAGTTTTTCAGATTCTCCCTCTTGAAGATGGGCATGAAAACTTTTTCTTTACTCATCAGGAACCTCCCCTAATCACTAAATACTTTAGCCTTTGTATATATGTTCAGTCTGCAAACCAAATACTGCCTTATTCTAATGCAAGATGTAACAGGAAAATACAATGCAGAAGTAATACTAACAGCATGTTCAGACAAAGTTCTTAAGACTTTGGGCAGGAAGCCTTGACGTTTCAGGCTAGGCTACTGTCAGACTGCACGTAAGCTAGTTCAGATTCTTATCTGTGGACAAAAAAACATTTTGCAGCGCTGTTTCCTGCAGGTAGTGTTCCCTGTTAGAGAAGATCATATGTGCTAGAAATAAACAGGATGATTTGAAGGTACTGAGGTATTTGATGTTACCTGAATTTACAAGTACTGCAAATGCTGTTTAGGGGACCATTGGACTTCAAGAAACTACATTGTTAGATTTGGTCTTATGTGACATTTCAATTCGTTTCATTGACTTTCAAGGCCTTAAAGTATCTTGAGGGAAGTGTATGGTGGTTACAATTTTAAAAATTGGAATAAAACACAGTTAAGTAATAAGGTTTGTATGTGTCTAGGGTTTTTCTCATTCCTTGTGTTGGTTGTGTTTAGG